AGAAAATAATATATATTTTTTGCGGGAGCGGGACAGAATCTTGCGGGAGCGGGCAGGAGCGGGACTGAAAAATCCGTCCCGCGCAGGTCTCTAGTAGGAAGTTTGGTACAGGAACTCCAAGACACTGAGGCCATTAAGCTTGCTGCAGCTGTCTGGCTCCCCATGAGACTAGCACTGCTCCGTGTGGCTGGCTCACCCCTTCCCCTTCGAGTGCATCTCCCTCTCTCCCTTTGCTACTTCGTGCATCTGGCCCCGCCCCTTCACCTCCTTATGCAGCTAGATCTGCCCCTTCGCGTCCTTATGCAGGTAGATCTGCCCCTTTGCCTCCCGATGCAGCTAGATCTGCCCCTTCACCTCCCCCACCCATTAGCCTCCCTGTGCTTCTGGTCCCACCCCTTTGTTTCCCTGTGCAGCTGGTTCCACCCTTTTGCCACCCCAAGCGGGTCCGTGGAGGGGTCCATACCCCTCCCTTTCTTGGTGGCATGTAAGGTGGCACCATTCCGGGCCAAGGTAGCCACTGTGATGTAGAAACAGGACTCCCCCACCCCACTTACCCCGACCTCAAACCTCCAGAAGGAAACCCAGAGGTCCGACACTTACGCTGCTGGGGTTTCGAACGGCTGCTTCACACTGCAGGCGCACCCGCTCTGGCATCATGACGTCATCCTGAGAAGAGAGCCATACAGACGGGCATCCTCAGGAAGGGAGAGCAGGCGGATCCCAGGAGCTCCAGCTGGCTCTACAGCTCCTGTTTAATGTGGATTGCTGAAGGACCAAGCCAACACCCCCAGTGGAGACAGCCATGCCCAAACCCTTCCCCTACCGCAATAAGAGAAACAGCCAGACCCACTAATAATCTAATGTACAGAGCAGCTTATTCAGGACCCCCCCCAACTCTGTACCTGACAGCCCCCCCCGATCCTGATATAACCCCTGTATATGATAACTAGGGCTCTGCCTCTCCTCTGATTCAGAGGCTTGTCCCAGGTCTCCCAGGCCATTTCCCCGCTTCATCAGTCAGAGGGGCTTCTGGTACGTGCTGTTATAAAACCCAGCGCCACCGCTCTCCATGGGGCCTGTAGCAAGCAATCATGTAATAACTGCTAATAATGTAATTACTTAGTACATTATGCAAAAAAGTTATGCTTTTGATTGTGATATTTCATAACATTATTGGTAAGTTATTACATTACAAATGAAAAATTATTAGCTAACTGCCAGTCATTACACTACAGGGAGTTATTACACTACTGGCAGTTATTACACTACTGGCAGTTATTACACTATTGGCAGTTATTACATTACTGGCAGTTATTACACTACTGGGAGTTATTACACTACTGGCAGTTATTACACTACTGGCAGTTATTACACTACTGGCAGTTATTATACTACTGGCAGTTATTACATTACTGGCAGTTATTACATTACTGGCAGTTATTACACTACTGGGAGTTATTACACTACTGGCAGTTATTATACTACTGGCAGTTATTACACTACTGGCAGTTATTACATTACTGAGAGTTATTACACTACTGGCAGTTATTACACTACTGGGAGTTATTACACTACTGGCAGTTATTACACTACAGGGAGTTATTACACTACTGGCAGTTATTACACTACTGGCAGTTATTATACTACTGGCAGTTATTACATTACTGGCAGTTATTACATTACTGAGAGTTATTACACTACTGGCAGTTATTACACTACTGGCAGTTATTACACTACTGGCAGTTATTACACTACTGGCGGCTTAAGGCCCAAGTGGGGAACCCAAGGCATGGGCCTCACTTACCACGTCCTGGAAGCACAGGTACCGGCCCCTGCTCTGGGCCACAGCCTGGTTCTTGGCATATCCCACTAGGTAAGAGAAGAAAGAAAAAAGGTCAGGAACCTTTGATGATCAGGAACACCCTCACATTCAGGACGTGACATTAGTAATGCAGGACTCAACAGCACACTCGAGTGCTGAAAAGGTGTATGGCAGCTACATTGCAGAATGACGTGCATGAGCTGCTGGCTGTTTGGAGGATTCACAGCCTTTCCTGTTCCCCCAGGCATGAGTACTGTTCCACCCATCGTTTGATAAAGCTCTGCATCCCATTTAAGTTGTGCCATACATCTCTTAACAGTTCCAAGCCCCTAAACCGCACATCATGTGACACCTGGGCAATCACATCCACGTGTTTCCCCTTCTCAGGCGACGGGAAGCACCGACCTCCCCTGGGCTCAGTCGATTTGTGTCCCGAGACAAGCGTGGGGATCCCTTGTTGCTCCAGCCGTGCAGCCCAGCAGGAGACGATGTCCAGCGAGTCGTCCTGGGGGCGGCAAACACAGACACACTGTGCAGTGAGCATACAAAGAGTAATGAATTTATACACAACACCCAAACACACACCCACGCGGGGCAGCAAGCACACGCAGAACCCTAAATCTACATACAACACCCAAGCACACACCCACACATGGCAGCAAGCACACACAGAACCCTAAATCTACATATAACACCCAAACACACACCCACGCGGGGCAGCAAGCACACGCAGAACCCTAAATCTACATACAACACCCAAATACATATCCATGCAGGGCAGGAAGCACATGCAGAACCCTAAATCTACATACAACACCCAAACACACACCCATGCGGGGCAGCAAGCACATGGAGAATGCAAACAGCTAAATCAATTTTCTAGCCATGACGCATAAACTGGCGACCTTAAGATTGGCGCGGCACCTTAATCATACACCACGACCATTATATTTATTCATTCAGCAGATATACAAGCAAGTCACATGATCAATTGATTATTGAGACTAAAGTGCTTCAGATAGTAAGCGATTGGCAGCTTGCTGCCCGGTACAGGCGAGTACCTTGCTGGCGTCATCAAAGACGCACAGCTCCATGGTTCCCTGGAAGTCCTGGTCCAGCACGGCCTGCAGGCAGGCAGGCAGCCAGCGGGCACCATTGTACATGGGCAGGATGATGGACTGAAGAAGAGGAGACGCAGAACACAAAGGGCTGTCATGAAGGCGGAACAGGGGGACACACTGAACCCCCTCATATGCCTGCAGTTCACTGCCTCTATTCATGGGGCAGTGGCCAATGCCGCTTTGCCCCAAGTCACCCCACACGTTGCTCTGCATGAGCCCCATATCACTCTAAACCAGACACAGCTTGCAGGCTATACCACACAAATGGCCAGCCTAGGTGGAGATCATCATGCACACTTCTGCACGTCCCCTCCGCGGGGCGCCCTCTACAGGACACCAGACGCTGCCACGCCTGCTCCTGATGCCCAGCCAAAACACACTGCTGGGCTGCTGCTGCATTTAATGCAGACTATAACAACCTAGCTATCTATTTATGACCATGTACAACCTCTCTAAAGTGATATTTCTATTTTCACAGGTTTTCACTGTTCATTACTGTTCACTTAGTTCATTAATTTATGTCAAACTTACCAACAAACTGAAAGACATCAATTAAGATGTTGCCAAAGGAAACAGAGACGACGCCACCTTGATCATTTTCATTTCAAGAGCCCTGAAATACACAGCAGAGGTACAAAGCACATACCACATCAATGGGGCCGCCGGCATCCGCAGCTCTGCAAGCCGACTGGGACATGAGGTGCGAGAGGCCTGGCAGGGATGGAGGCCGATCCGGGACACAATGCACACAGCCACCCCCTGTGATCACATAAGAACATAAGATGTTTACAAACGAGAGGAGGCCATTCGGCCCATCAAGTTTGTTTGGGGAGAACTTAACTAATAGCTCAGAGTTGTTAAAGTCTCATCTAGCTCTGATTTAAAGGAACCCAGAGTTTTAGCTTGCGCTACAACAGGAAGACTATTCCATACTCTAACTACACGCTGTGTAAAGAAGTGCTTTCTCAAATCCAGTGTAAAATGTTCTCTCGTAAATTTCCACCTATGGCCACAAGTTCTAGTATTTAAACTAATATTGAAGTAGCAATTTGTCTGAACAGTATCCAGACCTGTTAGAATCTTATATACCTGGATCATGTCCCCCCTTAGTCTCCTTTGCTCGAGG